ACCTGGCATATATGCCTTTGCAGCCTGGACTGAAATGTGGGGCTTTTGTTTAGGTGTGATCCAGACTCAAACTAATTCCATCTTTAGCTCCATGAGGCATTTGTTGCTCATGCACCTCCACAGCAACACTCCCAGTATCATCCCAGGTTTCCTCAGGTGTTAGTGGTGTACTCTCATGGTTTTTGATTTTGGCTTGTTTGTTTTCTGAACCATCTAGGACTGGCAATAAGCCTGACTCCTGGAAGTCACAGTAAAGCAGAGACGTGCAGCCTTCCAAACCCTAACCAGCTGTATACTAAAATCCTCACATGGCCAAGAACCACAAGTCACACACTGCAGATCTGCAGAGCTGAACAGAGCCCAGGAAAACTTTACAGGCAGGTGACGGCCAGTTACTCTGAAGAACCACTGGGGAGCTGGGCTGGATTTGTCACACAGCCTGCTCTCAGTGACCCTCTGCCATCAACCTTAACCACCCTCTATTTGAAGTAATTGAGATCCGAGGCTCTGAGCCAGCCTAATGCTGGTCATGAAACAAAATCACGACTCGAACAGCTCAAAGTCCACATGTGGTTCTGGCACTACAGCTGATTCCCTTGAGCAATGACTTTCAGGGTTTTGTGATTTTTGGCATTTTATTTTTTAAAGGAATGATTTTATTTCCTCACATTTATTAGCATTCAGATCTACTGTACACAGTGCTTGTTTCCTCTACATTCCTCCTGCTGCAATTTCTGGAACCACCTTTCATTGCTCCCATTTCTCTCCATGTTTGAAACTGGTTTCAACCAGCCATGGTCAAACCCCACCCCATATGACTGCAGACCATGGAATATGCACTGCATCAAACTGTCTTGCTAAAGCAGTGGTTTGTAATATGGTTGCTGGTTGATTGTTTGTCTGAAAATCCCTATCCACAAGAGACACTGAAATAGTGCTAAAAGGCAGGCTAGTTCCAGAAACGTTAGGCCATGTTTGTGCTGCAGACTTCTGGACAGTGTAGCTCTGTTGACAGATGTGATTCCTGACCAAAGGAGAAATGCCAGCAGCAGCTTCTAATGCGAGGACAGCACCTTTACCGGTTTTGTAGACTGAAGGTGGAGTGGTGTTGAAACACCATACTAATAAGCCTACACTTTGTCCCATCGGATGAGTAATCCTCCTGAGATCCAGTAAAGACCTCTTAATGAAGGAACTGCCCTAAAGAATAGCAAACTAAGCCTGTGTTCAATTTGGCTCCAGTTTTCCAAGGAATGTGGGAAGGCAGGGGGGTAAGAGATCAGGAAAGACAAGTGTAATGAGTCAGTCTTTGGAAACCGAGCTAAGGATTTGACTCCAGTTACTTCATTTACAGGCTGGTTCTAGAGTTGTGGCCAGCAAGCACTCATGGTTTCAAACTGGAGTAGACAAGCTTGGGACTCTGCCACTGCCGAATGTCCCCAAGTCAACTTAACACTACAGCTAAACTCATTCCCTTGTGCTCCCTCACAAATACTTCCCCTGCCTTTGCTGAAAACACTGGGCTCCGGTCTCCAGCTCAGGAGTCCTCTCAACCTCCACTCTTCTGAAAAGCCCAGGCCAGAGACCTCTTCCTCTTCAGCACCACTGGCCATCTCTCTGGATCTATCCAGCAAGAAGCAAGGCTCATGAGAAGTCATTATGTTCCACAAGCCTGGAGCTCTCTCCCCTGTATACAAATATAGCCACTGGATAGTCCTTCATCCTTCAGTCCTTCAGCCCTTAAGAAATCCTTTCAGATCTCACTTCAAACTCTCCACTGGTTCCTCTTCTATCTCTGCTATGCAACTTGGCCTTCAAGTTTCTACCCAGTACTTCCAGCTTTCCACATTCCATAGCTCTGTGAGGCCTGACCTTTATTCCATCCAGTTCTGCCTATAAACTATCTCCTGAGCTGGTCCACTCACTCACATGTGGAGAACATGTTTCAGGGCAATAAGCAGAGCTGTTTCACAGCGACAAAAGATCAGTTACTGCGGGGTGAAGAGTTTTGGAGTTCAGAAGGAGCATCTGAAGAGCAAGTGGCAAGAGTACCTAACAACGAAAATATCCCATACCCTCTACTCACAGTTTGGGAAAGTAACCACGCTGGATGTGAATTGCTTTGTTGGTACTGGGACAGTCACTGTGTCTTTCTATCTACCTTACTAGGAGCTAGCTATGACTGACACACAGGCAGGCTGGAGGGACATTCATTAATGAAGTTACCCATTTGCTAAAGCAATCCATCCCAACACCCAAGCATACAAGCAATAAGGGAAGTTTTATGTAACAGTGTTTGACCAAGCCATGATAAACACAGAGAGAGGGTAAGGTGCAAGAGATGTCCCTTGGCTTACAGTCAGCGTAAGGGGAAAAGGTGTAGGGAATGGTCTAAATTGCTTCATGAGATGTCGGTGGCATTGCAGCTGGATCACAGTGCTTTGGAGTCAGTCAGCTCCTCTGCCGTGCCAGGAATATTGATTCCAGAAACCTTGGCTGCCCCAAGGTCCCCTTCACAGACCTCCTCAAGCTCATACAACATAATTCTATTAATGGGATTAATTTTCCAACAGAGCCTTTAAATCCTCATCCCTTTTTAACCCAAGGCAGCGTTCTCACCGATATCCCACCAACAGCAATTAGACACCCCAGCTCTGACCACAGCTGGTTGGAAGGTGTGTCCAGCATCCTTGTCTCCTCATATCTGTAGCTACCTCTAGTGAACCCACAAGTTTCTCACAGCAGCTCATATCCACGCGCGACCACACTCCATGCCCCTTTTACTAACTAGCACAGGCAAGGGATTTTGGTCTAATGGATTTAGTATCAAGGCAAACTACATATCAGACAAATTTACAGTCAAGGTCTGCCCTTGCTACGGGAGAGGGTCAGTGCTGGGAGCCAGAGTGCAGCCAATGGCGTGGACTCTGAAACAGCCTCTTGGAGTAGAGCAGAACAGCTTTTAAAGCAAGTACACTGCAAGGTCACAAAAACAAACAAACAAAAAAACCACACACACAAAAAAAACCCCAAACCAAAACAAGCAAACAAGCAATCTACATACAGAGAGCCTTGAATTTTAAGAGGTTTTTCAAAAAACCCAGAGCAACTCGTGTAAGGAGGAAGACAAACTGCTTGGGAGCTTAAATAAGTGAGGTGTGGATGCTCATAAGGTAGCAGGCAGATGCAGAATTCCCGCCAAGGGGAACTGAAAGCCGTGAGCCAGTCAACTGTCAAAAGATGCACCACCTTTTACTACTAATCACCCCTTGAGGAGAAAGTGCTGCTTCCATGCACTGTGGCAAGCCAACAGAATTATGGAGGGTCCACTTCTTCCCCCAGCACCTTACCAACTCTGCCTCACTGCACCGCTCCTCCCAGCCTCATCTCTGCTTTGGTCCTCCAGGCCTGTCAAGCCTCATTCTCCAGGGTACATTCTACAAGAACACATCCCACCTTTCTCCTTGAGGGATGAAAGACAGATGATACCCAAGAAGTGCCAAGGAAACAGGTCAGTACTGTGTCAAGCTGTAGCAAGAAACAACTCCTTGCAATAGCAAGCCAGGACAAAGCCAAAACACAGCATGGTCTATCTGAAGGGCAGTAACCATCTTACTTTGCATAGGAAAACACAGACTAGTCCAGTCAGAGTTTTTTAAAACTTGTGGAATTGTATAAAGAGTTGTCTAGCTTTTTCCTCACCAAGGTAAAATAGCAGGCACTGCTTCATGTATGCTAAAATAATTGGCCATTGGCTGCTTTTCACAACAAAATCTTTTATCCCAAAACAGGAAAGAAATACGTTTCACAGAAAGATTCATCTCAATCTCACCCTTGATACGCCCCATGTCATCTCCTGAAGTCTGCTGTTTAGATGGATAAACTGGGAGACATCCAAAGCATTTTTTGATCCTGGGAGACAGAACAGTGCCAGCTGATGTGACAGGAAAACCTGGCTCCTTGGGTAAAGCCTGCAGTACTCAGATGATCTTTCTGTGGGGCTCCATGGGTCTACCAGCTACCACTACAGATCCAGCAGCCAGCTACACCTGAGGCCAGAGTCCAGAGGAGATCAGGTCTCTGATTTCTACCAGCATTGAGAGAAATCTATCCAGGGAGGCACTCAAGTGAGCATCCTCAGTGCATGAAGCTTAAAGAGCTGGAGCAGTGCCCTGAAGCAGGAAAGGATCTCAGTAACAGTTCAGACACCCTCCAGGTTGTTGTCAGGCTAATGCCCTTGTTTACTGCCTGGCAGAAAATAAGCATAGTATGTTAGCATAATCTGTGTCTGGAGAGGTCTGATCCCTTCAAGACCCACATGCAGGAGGTGCTGCGAAGTGACAGCCAAAAACCAACCAGAGATGTGTCTGTATAAATTCTGCCAAAGGGGATGGGGGGGCAGGGGGGGAAAGTGTAGAGAAACACACAGTGTTTGTTTATCCAGGAGTAAAAACCAGCCTATGAGGTCAGTTACAGAGGGCCTTGATGCACTGAACCCTGGCAACTTGTCAAGTTAGGCACTGAGCAGAGTCGTATCTCCAAGCCAGTGTGAGTGATGTCATGCTCTGCCCAGACCACAGAGCAGCCCTTGGATACCTGTTAACTATCTTCTGGCAATGCCCTCCAGCAGTGCCAGGGGAATTGCAGTGTTAAGAGTCCTCCCCAACCCAAAGTTTGCCCATCTGCTTATCAGTCTGGCCTTATGGCTGCAGGTTAACTTGTCTGACATCTCGCCAGTACTTGGGCACAGGGAACTGTACATGCTACAACACTGCTTTAAGTCAACAGTTAAATCAGTGGTACTTCATTATTTTATAATAGTTGATAAACTGGTATCTAAATATGAAAAGTTAAATACTCCTCTTTTCCTCAAGCCCCCTCCCCATCTCTATCCCTCTTTTCCCATCCCACTGCCCTCCCGGTGAGACAAGCATGGGATTAAATCCCTAATGAACTGTTCCCAGGAAATGTGCTCTTCTTCAGTGTAGTGCAAACCCTACCTTGGTTGAGGTAGGTCAGGGTTTCTTCATGCAGTTTCACAGCAGGTGATGTGGCTGTGCAGAGGACGTACTGAAAGGGTGGCAGTTTGGCATCATTCTCAGGAGACAGCTGCGGCTCTTCCTGCTTGAAAATCGGCAGCGCAAGGACATCTCTGCAACATACAATTCACACACATTCAGTCTCAAAGAGTATATGGAACATCCTAGCCTAAATCTGCACTTGGTTCTCATGATCTGGTATAATGGAGATGGTCTCTGAAGAAACAGAGTTAAAATGGCTAAAAGAGAAAGAATTCTGCCTGTATAAAGTAACCAGGCAACTTCTGCCTCTAGGACACCAACACAGTACAAAAAAGAACATAGATAGAATGGCAATATAGAATGTATGAGAATTAATTTATGTTTTTAAAAATTAAATCAGATTTACTTTTCAGTTAAGCAGTTTTCTTGATGAGGAAAAAAATACCAAAAATAGATTCTTCATCCTTGTGGAAGTACATGTGTTTAACAGTCCTTGGGTTCTCAGATGAAGGCCTTTCAGGAAAAAAAAAGCAAGAAAGGGCACTTCGACAGCTGAATGTCTGGTTAGTAAAATGTCTACAAGTACGAACCAAGGGCAAGGAACAGACATAGCTCTGGTGTAAAAAGAAGACATTCAGGTAAATAATGGCACAAACTGCTGGATTAATTAACTCATGAGATCTCCCTGCACTCTAATAAGCCTGGTCCCAAGTAACCACATAGCTCTTAAGTCAGCACTGGGCCACCTCCATAAATGTACACCCAGGTGCTCAGGAGCAGCTTCACCAGGACCTGCACATAGTCCCTGTCCTCACTTCATTACAAGATGTTGATGCTGACCTGCCTGCTGATTTAGTGTCAGGCTGATCCCAACCCACGCTAATCCCCAAGCAAAACTGGTATTAGCAAGACTGAGAGCTCAACAAATGATTAGTTGATTAGTACAAAATGAGATGCCAGGAATAAGCATCCTTGCCTCAGCCTGTCTGATACTGAAGAACCACACTAGCCTTACCCAAGTCACAAACACTTCTGATCATTGTGTCCACCTACTTAAGACATTAACATCCTTCCAAATTAGGAGGATTATGTTGAACACAGAGACAGTTCAGAATAAGATTGTTTTTCTCCTCCATTTCCTCCAGATATGTAAAGACTTAAGATTCCCATTACAGAGGTTGCAGTTCTGCTCCTTTTGATTATCTCATACACAAAAAGCTTTAAGAAAAAACATCCAGGCACATGCCAGCATGTACAGGCATGCTCCCTGAAAGGGCATTAAGAATTTTTGCCTTGCCTCTTCAGTTAATGATCCACTTGTAGCACCCACAACCTTGAAGGCTACCCAGGTCATGAGTGAAACGGTGCAGCAGTTTAGAGCAAACTGCTGAAACGCCTAGTTCAAACATCGGTACTCCTATTTATGGCAAAATAAAGCCAAAGAGCAAAATGTGTCATTTCAGACACAAACAGGAGAAAAGAAACACCCATCTCTGTTTCCATTCTCCCTTCCAACCCCACACCCTCCATATTATCACCCACTCGAAGGCATCCAGCCCCGTTTGCTTACTGGCATTACTGACATAATCACAGCTCTTGCCTAACTGCTGCCATAGAGAGGGTTTTTTTCCTTAGCGATGATTTACTACAGTAATGAAGTGACAGAAATGCCTGCAGTAGATTTCTGAAATAGATAGCATTGCTCCACACACATGCAGGATCTGATAGTGCTCCAGAGTCATCTTGCTCACCCCGGATGCCAACATTTGCTCTTAACACACGCATCTGCACAATGCCATTGGAATGTGTGCAGCTTTACAGACGAGAACAGGTCAAAAACTCCGAAGCCCAAAACTTCTGCAGTTCAGCAGAAACAGTGCACAAAGTCTGGCCCGGGTTTAACAGTTAGGGATGAGTAATTTGTACACCTACTCACCTGAAACAACTGAGAAATGTAGGCAAGAGGAAATCAAAATTTGGCCAATACCATATTTCACATCAGGCTGCTAGCACCCCTGCACTTGCCAGAACAGCTGTCTGACTGCTGAAGATGGTAAGCATGGAGGAATCCATGATTTGGTTTCTGAAAAACTTCAGCGTATTAAAGCCCCAGTGAAGCAACACAATTCAATTACATTTTTATTCCTGGAGCATTTGAACCAATGGCCTGTGGTATAGATGGCTTTGGGTCAAGACCTTCTAAAACATTTCACCTTATTAGAGGTGTTTGGAAATAAGAAGGTGAAGGCTTAAAAGAATTTTTAAGTTAAATATATAAGCCACCACAAAAGTCAACTCTTAAAAAAAAAAAAAAAAAAAAAGTGAACCTCTTAAAACTCTCACAAGTTTCACCTTTATGTTAAAACTTTCCACTTCTGGTCTTAACCAACAATTAGGCTGTTGCTTACCCAAGAAGAGAAAAAGTTATTTGAGAGTTCAGTCAGCTGACAGAACAGAAAGTAAAACATGTACTGGGTTTTCCTAAAAACTGAATTAAAATTTACAAGGACTTTTCTGTAATATCATCTTGCTCTAGCTACAAATGCCACTGAGGTATGGTAGAACTTACATGGATGTCTCAGATACACAGAAAGCCTTTGATCTCTGCAAAGTATAATTTATATAAACTTTTCTTACAGCAACTTCAAGAATTGTACTGTTTCAGTTTCCTGTGCAGAGTCCCTACAAGGGGGTATAGAAAACCTTCAGAAAGGCACAGCTCAGCAGAAAAATGCCCCTCTTAGAAATGCATGTCTTGACACATTCTCATGGAAAGTGAATTGGCCAGAATTAAGAGGTCTCTATACAAAAAAAAATGAGGGTTTTGTTCAACCAATCTTCCCTGAAACACCCGAGGGCATTGTTGCCATAAAACTGATTTTAGAGCTTTTAGTACCAAATCAAAAACACCATGGTCACAATAACAGATACTCACTAAAGCTGAAGTTTGTTCCTAAAACATGGACAGGTCACCGCCATACCAGCAGCCTTCCTGACAGAAAGGTATCCTTTATCCCCTAGCTAGCATCAAGCCAGCAAAAATCAGTGAATGTGTTTTCTGGCCAATTAGACGAAATTTAAATTGTGGACTCAAGCCTGACCCAGACTTGATGATCTTGAAGCACCGTGCAACAAATCCATGGAGTTTATGAAGCACCATAAACACTCTCTAATGCTGAGAATACACACAAGTATCAATGCTGATGCTCCTCTGCTACTGCCGTCCTCGCTTTCCTAAACTACTCAGATCTGCAAGAGCAAAGCAAGAGAACAAGACTTTTGGCACACGCATGTTGTGAAACTGACTTACTGATACAGAGGGACGACATGAAGAATCTTGTATGAAGTGGAGAAGCTGCCAGAAAGCAAGAATCTTACAGTATTGTATCACTTGATAATGGGAGATTATTGTTTAGGTAAAAAAAAAAAATTCATTTGTAAATACAATGATAAGGAGTAGGAATAGTCAAGATAGAGTGTCTCCTTGAAAAGGAAGTATTATCTGTGTTGGAAGTACTTCCCCAGACAAACTCAATGCTCTCTCAAGAGGGGTTGTTTGGGGGTACATTTGAAAGTCAGGCTCTTGGGCCACGGCCCGGTTCTCCCCTGTCATAATTCATAAAAATCCTCCTTTAGCGGAGCAGCGGCAGCAGACAGCAGCTGGGGGCCGAGCTTTACATCTTCAGAAAACAAATAATTCACAAGCAACCAGCAAAAAGGAAACTCCCAAAGTTGCCTGCTTTCACATCGTTTAGAGGGAGGAAACACGGGTTTGAGCTACACATGTTACAGACTATTGTTTAGCAGCCCTTGTACTTAAATTAGGCACATTTAATTAAACGCAACTGTGCGGAGGCAGGAAAAAGCTGGTTTAGGCAAGTTCAGAAAGTGAAATTCTGAGCTTTTCACACATCGTCCCAAAAAGCAGAGAAAGAAATGCCGTCCCCATAAAACTGCGTGCCTTCTCAGTTTGCCAGCAGGCGTTTGCCACAGACTTTTGACAGCGCCTCGCCGCCGCCTCACCTCCTCCCTTGGAGCCGCACTACCTCAGCCCGGAGGAGAGGCAACCCGGCACAAGAGGTAAAGCAAAGCTGCACAGAGCTGTCTAACGAGGCGCTAAAAAACAAAGAAGGAAAAAAGAAAGGGGAAACCAAGAAAAAGGAGCCCGCGGTCTCTCAGGCGGAGGGAGCGGCGCTAAGCCCGTGGTGCCGCCGGGCGGCCGAGAGGGCGGTGGCGGGACGGGGGCACCCGCTCCCCAAACACACACACACACACACACACCGCTGTGCCAGGGCGCAGGGGCTCCCGCCGCCCGGGACTCACCGCAGGTAGCTGCCAGTCGAGTGCTGGTTATAGTGCTCCGGCTGCGTGTGCCAAAACAGCATCTTGGGGGCGGCCCGGCGGCGGTCGCTGGGGCTGCGGAGGGGGCGGCCGCGCTGCCCACCCCAGGCGTGCCGGGCACGGCTGCCGCCAACTTGAGCCGCGACCCCGGCGGCTCCCGCCGCTTTTATGGCTCAGCTCCGGCGGCCGCGGGTTGGTCGGGCCGGGGCTCCGGAGCCCGGTGAGCCCTCCCCCGGCCCGCCCCGCCGCCAGCCCCGGCCCCCGGGTGGGCACGGCCCGCCAGCCCCGGGGCGGAGCGCCCGCCCCTGAGGGCAGGACGGGGGCGGGCCCGGCCCGGAGCGGGGTTTGACGGGCCGTGGCTAGGGAAGAAGGGGATGGAGGCGACCAGCCCGGCGACCCGTGGCTCTGCTGGACCTGACCGAATTGCCTGTGTTTTAAGCGGAGCCGCGGGAGCGACCTGAGAGCTCCATCTGACATCTGTGTGGAAACCCTGCTCAGGTTCCGCTGAGGTCTCTGTATGAGCTGGTTGTTTTAGCTGTGGTGGTGTCTGTCTCTTACGCCGGCCGGTGCCTCATGTTCATGTGACTTTTGTGTCGGGGTGTTTTCCGAGTGGGAGAGCGAGAGGCAAAATTTGCCAGAGGAGGTGCAGGAACAAGAGGACAGTGTCAGGGACTAAACTCACCCCTAAACCTTCAAAACCCTCCTGGGCTTCCTATCTCAACTCCCCCTCTCAGTAAGGAGAAATCTGTTTCTTTGCCATTTCAAGTTGCAGATCCTGATCCGTCACACACAGGATCACATACCCATCATTTTCCTAACCCCCTGCTCTCAGGGCACCTTCCTGTCCCATTAATCCTCTGGTCTGATAGTTTGTGGAGGGGAAACAAAAGGGTAGAAGGGTTCCCCGTTTGGTCATTTTCTCTTGTGTATCCACCAGGAGAAATGGAAACAGATGCTTAATTACTCTGAGTCATTAAACATATTTCAATCAGTTTTCAGGAGAAAGAGCTTAATTGCTTCTTTCAGAAGAAGAACCTTATCCATGAGGTTCCTGGTCAACTTTCAGCTGAGAAAAAGCCAGTTTACTCAGGGTAGTTGTTGGCATTCACTGTCAGATTTCACTGTCAGATGAGTTTTTTCAGACAGATGATTTTTCTATTCTTCTTCCATGATTATAGAATATTGATTTTATCACAGCACTTATAGATCATTTTTAGGTCAAGCTAAGTAGTGTCAGACACAGTATAGGCATTGGTTGTTTGTATCTTGAACTGAAGGAAAAGGTAACCTGAAAGATAACAGCAGGTTCATAGAGATGCTATGAGTCTAAAAGTTTTTAAGATGCATTGTTTATATCTGCCTGTCCCAGTTTCACATTAAGAAATAGCACAAATCAATGTGCCTTTAAGGTAGTTTCTCTGTCACTACACAGCTAGACAAACTCCTGGTTCTAACAAAGCCAATTGGTGGAGTTATCTTTTCACTTTTTTATACTCTTAAAAATACTTAGCTCTGCTCACACAACATCTGAGACCTTGATTGAGCAAAGCTTACATATAGTTCTTGTACAGAGAAACATGACAAAGTTTGCTGAACTGTCCAAGAACTTCTTTAAACAGTAAATATCCTCCCACAGTTTGAGTAGTTTGCTGCACCAACTGGAGAAATATGAAGTCCAATGTAAGAGTAAATTACCACACCCAAAGGATCCCATCAAGACTGGCATGTCAGTATTTTCTTTAGTATATTTCTGGAAAGTAAATATGTTGGAGTAAAAATTACATTAAAATAGTCTGCTTTGTTTCTTCTCTGGCCTGTTGCTGAATGGAGAAAATAAGGTGAGATCTGCTAATTAATTTTGCAAACACTCTGGCAGCAGCTTTGTCTTCCAGATGTTTCTGTCCCTGCCATTTCTCGCTCAGCCAAATCTGAGGAAAAAGACATCTTTATTCCTTGTCTACATCTCATGAAAGAAATTTCAGCCATCTTCTGGTCTAATTGCTGCTCTTCCCCCAGCATGGAAACTTGTACCACAGCATCAAATACCCTCTCCTGATCTTCAGAATCCACCACATCATACAGACCAAGTCCTCCTCTGCTCCCCTCTGGGGCTTCCTTGATCACCCAGCATCTGCTCTTCCTCTTTCCCTAACACAGCCCCTCAGTGAAGAATTCTTCTCCCCTACAGCTTTCTCACCCAGACCTCCCTTTGCTCTCCCTACTCTTTCCCAGATCAAAGTAATTTCCTTCCCTCTGCTGTACTCATTGCTCTTTATCTCTTTTTAGATGCTTGTTCAATTTGCCATGGTAAAATACTTTGATCATATGATTAAAAGGGACTGAGTGAATATTTTGTTTGCTGGATTCTCCTGCGAGAGGTAATGTTATGAAGAACCTGGAGATACTTTTTGTGTGAAAAAGAGGTATTTTAAGAATAAGTATATTTTTCTGTGGCCATTTGTGCCTGGACACAAAAGTACTGTGCCAGTGAGTTCAAGCTGGTATGAAGATAAACAGTTATTTAACTATGTAAATTCTTTTGATTTTTTTAAAAAAGGAAAAACAACAATAAAATACCCCAAACACACATACAAAAAAACCCCAAACCAAAACCAAAACAAACACAAAACCTTCAGGCATTAGTATCTGCACTTTCCGTTTAAGATGTTATTGCTTCAAAAGTTTGTTCTGCTGCTTCACTGGTCATTGCAATCCTTTTAGCTAAGCACTGAGTGGGAAACATGTATGACCTTCATCTGCTTCACTGGAGAGTCAAAAAGTTTTGATCAGTTTCTCAGCACTTAGAGCCAAACTAGCAGAACTTACACTGAAGTGACTGAGACACAGTCACATATTCTGTTCCCTTTATCCTCTAGAAGAAAGGGATGTGAGTGTGGGAGCATTAGAATACTGTAGAGATAGCTAAGTAAAAATTTAGACCTGTAAAAGAAATTAAACACTTAACTCTCACCAAACTGAAAAGAAACAAAGCATCTCTATACCTTTAGGGCTCCCACCACAAACATCTGAATTGCTTCTGAAAAGTCTAACAGGAACTTCTATGTCAGTTAAGCAATTCTGTGTTCATGAAGACCCAGATAAACTCAAAGGATCAAGGTTGAACATTATACTGTATCGAAGAGCTTCCAAAAGTTGCCATTAGTTCATTATGGCATTAGTCAAGGTTATTCAGGGATTACTGCACTTCTTTCCTGATGCATGGACCATGGAGTTACGGCCTGTCTGGATGATCTGCAGGGATCTGAAATGAGCTGCAGAGTCTTGGGAAGGCTTACTGAGATGGTCATCCAAGCACTGAATATGCTCTAAGGAAGAAAAGTCAGCATGATGCCTTTTGTGTTCCCTCTGTGTGTATTTCAGCTCACAAGTTTCCAGCCTTCAGCTAGGGAATTCTTGGGGGAACTATATTTAAGTGGGCTCTGCAAGATAACCAGGAAAAGTCACTGAACTGTGACAGGCTGATTTGCTCTACCTTCCTAGGCTGAAACTAGAAAGGACTGAAAACCTGAGGTTTTAATCAATTGCAATATTATGAATGAAGAAAGTAACAGCTTTTATACGACCCTTATTATTCTAAAAGCTGGAAAAACATTGCTTTGCCTTTGACAGGGTTTGGGAAAGCTACTAGTGGCAAGTACAGGCTCTCACAGGTAGCCCACTGACCCCTGAGGTCTCCTCATCTATTCCATGCAGGTCAACTTTTCAGATGAAAACCAACCTAGGTGGGTTCCCATTGCCCTCTACTGAACAGCACCTCAGGGCATAGCTGGTGGCCAGCAGCTCTGGGCAGTGGCTACCACCAGGAGTAGGAATGTGTTACAGCTGAGGAGGAGGACACTGAACTGGAAAAACTGAGAGTGAGCAAGGCC